CCTACCCCTCCCACTTCCCCCTCCCCTTTGCCCCTTTTCTTCCTATTTCATATATTTCATACCTTGTAGTCCTTATTTACACTTTCAGTTTCTCACAGTAGAGAAACTATTTGGCATTTACATATGTGTGCCCTATTTATTTCACTTAAGAATATCGACTCAGTGTGCATCCATTTAGCACTACTTAGCCATCAAAAATGAGAAATTAGAGTTTTAAATTATTGACTGGCTTTGGAAAGGAAAAAATGTCTTTTCCTAGGTAAAGTCATATTTTAGAAAGAAGCAATAATTCTCAAAAACTATATTTGTAAATTGTTGAGGTCACTGTTGAATTCAATCCTTTCTATATACATACTCATATCCACATCAGTGCACACCCAATCATATGGACATTGTCACATGATGGAATAAATGAGGGAATAACTAGATTTTAGAGGATTCAAAGTTTCATAAAATAGACTTAGATAATATGAAATCACTTTAAGGAAATAGAAATTCCAAGCATCATTAGAGACCAAAGGGGAAAATGTGTATTTTTAGATTAAGAGATAAAAGATGTCATCGATGTTTATTGAAAGGAGTAGAAATATAAGAATAGCTACAAATAATTATAGAGTTGGGATTAGGTGGGACATTTAAGGTCACGTTATTTGACCCTTGCATTTTGTTACTTAACTGAGGCCCATCCTGGCAGAGTGACTTGTCCAGTGTGACCCAGTGACAGAGTGGTGATCCTAGGATCAGCACGCACCATCCCAGACTCCCATCCCCATATTCTTTCCATGAGTCATCAAATACTTTATAATACAGAGTCATGAACATAAAAGGAATCTTCAAGAGTAAAGACTGGAAATCTCATGACAAGTCCACAAACAGGAGCCATTCATACAGGATAAGAGTGGGGTTCAAGAAAACAGATTGATTCTGTGAAAGGACTCTTAGAGAGAGTGGAAGACAAATGTGAAGAAGAGGGCAAAGTGAAAAGAGAATAAAAAAATAATTAAAGGCAAACTAAATGGAAGATAATCATTTTCCGATGGAAGATAATAATCAGGAATGAAACGTCATAAAAGAATTCAAGAGCATGGAAAAAAGATAAAGTATTTTATGTCCATTTTCATCAAAAGTAGATCTTTCTAGAATTACTTCAATAATAAAATAATTGGTAATGAAATAGTATGAACGTACATTTAAACCCCTTTGAAGAGGGGTTAAGCCAGAAGTAGTAAAAATATTAAGTTCCCAGGTGTCTTAGTCACTTTCTCATCACCAAAACACAGTACCTGGTACCTGCAACTTAAAGGAAAGGTTTATTTTGGCTCACACTTTGTAGATGTTTCAGTCCCTAGTCAAGCTGGTTCCAAGGCCGGCTGGCATGTCACAGGGGTATGGCAGAAGGCAGACAGGAAGGAGAGAGACAGAGGGGGGGAGAGATACCCAGGGACAGGGAGACGTGTGATCCCTGGTCACACCCCTAGCAACCCACTGACCAGGCTTTACCTCCCAACATCATATTTAGTTTTCAATTCATCATACTTCCCTCCATGCTTTCATCTCTCCTAAAAGCCTCACCTATGAGCTCATGAGCCTTTGGGGGGACAGCTAGGTATAAACCATAACACCAATCCTCTAAAGTGTTACATAAATAAGAAACAGTGTTTCAAAGATGTAGGTCTCTATATCAAAACCGTGGATATATAAAATCAGAGCAACATTGGGAAATGTAAGGCTAGCCATTTCTGCAAATGACTTTAGCATTTTTCTGTAAACTTGGCTAATGAATAAAAATACAAAGGGATGGGAAATCCCATGCATTTTGAACAAATCACGGTGCGTTATTTCAATGGAGATATAGTTTATACAACTGTTTGAGTTTATTTCCTTACCTTTTGCACTCCCTTAACAACCTAAACCTAAATGTTATAATTATACTGTTGGTTTACAGCCTGATTAGCATGTAAAAATATTAACTTTCATAATTCACTTGATAAGCCAAAGATCCCTCTTGTTGTCTCTTGGAATAAGAGGATCTATTTTTAATCTGTGTTTAACAGAAAATAAATGTGATATAATGGTAAGGCAGAAGTCATAGAAAAGTAATTTTAAAATGTGGCTAGTACACCAAATATATGTACTAAGAAAATCAATACACCATCAGTATTCCATATGCATGAGTTCCTCATATACAAAATCAACAGCAGCAATATTAGAAAAAAAAGCACATCTGTATGAAATATATACAAATGTTTTGTTTTTCTTGTTATTCCCTAAACAATACAGTATAACAATTATTTATATAGCATTTACATTATAAGAATTATGTAGAATCTAATGATGATTTAAAGCATACAATAAGATGTGTATAATTCTATGGAAATGCTATGCTGTTTTATATGAGGGACTTGAAAATTTGAGGATTTTGGAATCTCTGGTGGGGTAGAGATTGCAACTAATTCCATGTGGACACTGACTGCTCACTAAGGACACAGGACTTGAAATCAGGCAGACATGGTCTTGGTTCCCAATGTAGCCACCCATTAGTTATCTAGCCCTCCTCCCCATTTTTCCCTTCTCTCCATGGGCTCTCCCCACCTTCCCTCCTTTCCTTCATTCAAAAATGTCAGTAGAGCATTCATGAAAAGTGTATAGCAAAGAAATTTGTCATGTATTTACATGAGCATAGGTACAGGTGCAGAAATGAGCCAGACTTGGGCCAATTCTCAGTAGCCTAAAGGTAGATAATGGAAGACAGGATTTAAGGACCAATTGAAGTCAAATTGTCAAGAGCCCTGAATGCAAAAAGCAGTTTCAGATTAGAACTGACCAACAGTTAGAACTTAAGTGGCTAGGGAGGCAGTCCAGGACTGGAAGGCTAAAGGAGGGGACAACTTCAAGAGGGATAGATTGCTAAATACTTCAAAGAAACCAAGAAAAGGATGGATCTAATTGTTAGAAAGACATTGACCTTTTAAAATAGTGTTGATGGAGTGATGAGAATAGAAACCAGTGCTGGGATGAAAGAAGGGACTTGAGAGTAAAAACTGGACCCAGAAAGTCCTAGAGTTCCACGGGAAGGTTAAACAGAGTGGCAAAGAAATAGTGTGGTGGAGACAGGGGAAGCTGCAAGGTCAATGGCAGACACATTTTTCTTTTTCTTAAATTCGGTACATTTCAGGTCTACAATACGCTTACATTTACCTTTGGGTGCTTGGACCTGTCCATGATGGATCTTGGTTCTCACTTTTTCCCCATTACCTGGGCGCCCTTCACCCCTAAACCCTTCCCTATTTACATACTTTGTTTCCATTATTTTTCTTTTCTCATAATTTTTCCTTTCCCTTCTTTCCTTTCCCCTTCCCCTCCCACCACCCCTACCCCTTTGGACCTTTTCCTACTTCAAAGTATCAATTATTAGTTATTACTCCTTTTAGTCCTTATTTACACTCTCAGTTTCTCATACTAGAGAAACTATTTGGTATTTACACGTGTTAAATCAAGATTGATTGATTGATTGATTTTTTGGTACAGGGGATCGAACTCGGGTCCTCGCGCTTGCGCAGCAGGCGGCAAAACTGCTGAGCTAAATCCCCGGCTCCAGACACATTTTTCTTAACCTGAAGAATGCAAAAGATCAGTGAAGTTTCTAGGCTGAGGAAATATAGAAGGAGAGAGAAGCTGAGGTGGAGAAGAGAGCTTGCAGAGTTGGGGTGGCTCTCCTGACTCTGAAGGGCGTGACCCCACCCTGAGAGTCCCTTTGTACCAGAGGGTACCAAGGTAAGGCTCTCTCTATTCCAGAGGAGAGCACTTATTAGATAGAAGAGTGGCAACATCAGCGCACACAAAAGACCAAGTGATAGAAGTTGCAAAAAGACAAACATGAAAGAGTTTAGCCCATCAATAGCTGCAGTGGAAGGATCAAACCATTCTGATTTACACCCCAGAAACCTTTCTGCTGCTGCTTCTATGTTGCAGGGAGCAATGTGGGCCAGCAGTGCGAACGTTCAAAGGGTGAAAAACCCCTTGAAATTCACCTCTCCTTCAGAAACAATGACACAGGATGGTAGAGAGTACAGGTCCAACCCAACGACTATCATTTGTGCTGTACATAACCAAGTCAAGGGAAAAGTGGAGGTTGAAATGAATGGGTATTTAGGTAGAGATAAATACATCCTAGAAGTTAGTAGTTGTACCAGAGGGCCACTCAATTCTTTGAGAATATGCCTGCTGGGTGCTCAAAATTATCATCTCTAGAGATCTTACTGCCGAACAGCTTTCCAACTTAACCACACTTTCTACTCCTCCACCTCTAAGTTGTAAGGGGCCCATAAGGAGCTACGGAGGCTCTCAGGTCAGCCTCGATCTCCATTTGAGGTCTGGCTTGGGAGAAACTGGGCAGAGGGCTTCCCTGGGTACGATGCCCTCCTGCAGGACAAAGTGAGCAGGGTTGGCAGCTTGGAGTTTGCAGCCCAAGAGTAACAGCCGCAGGCAGAGCACCAAGGCTGCCCATGTGGCCTGGCAGCCCAGACTAGAGGATCCCCTGGGTAAGGAGACCTCAGCCCGCTGCTCTGGAAAAGCAGAGTAAGTGCACCTGGCAGGAGGGCTCAGTGCTGAGTGGCCACCTTTGCTTTGGAGTCTTCCTTTTCGCAGGACGCTTTCTTTGCCAAGGGCTGCGGACCGGGGCTGTGGGCAGGAGGCGGGTTGGGACCGGAGCACCGACCCCCGGTGCTGCGCTGGCCTTGGGGTTAGGGGAGCACAGGCCAGGGAGCGCCTGGTCTCTGCTCCAGTCCACAAATCCTGACCGGGTTTTCTCTCTCTCCCTTCACCCTTTTCTCTCCTTCGCTCTTTCTTTCCCGCTCCCTCCTTTTCCCCTTTCCCTCTCTCCCCCCTCCCGCCCCTTCCCTCCCTCTCCCCTCCCCCTCTGCCTGTGTGCGTTCTCCCCTCCCTCCTCCCCTTCTCGCCTCGCCGCCTCCCTCCCCCTCTGCGTCTCCTGCTCCTCTCAGCGCGCCGGGCGACCCTGCTCCTGCCTCCCACGTTAATGGCGGCATCTTCGGAGGACGACGTGGACCGGCGGCCCATCCGCAGAGTGCGCTCCAAGAGCGACACGCCGTACCTCGCCGAGGCCAGGATCTCCTTCAACCTGGGGGCAGGTGAGGACGCCCCTCGCTTCCTCTCGCCGCGCCCGCTCCTTCCCTCCCTCGCGCTCGGCTGGCTCAGCCCCCGCCCCTCCTCGTCCCTCCCCAGACTCCCTCCCCGCCCCTGCCCGCCGCCCGGCGCGGCTCGCGCTCTTTGTGTGCAGGCGTGTGCGCGCTGTGGGGGTGAGGGAGGGTTGCGTGGACCCCTCCACCCGCCAGCCGCCCCGAGCCACGCGCGGGCTTTCCCCTTCCAGGAAGGAAAGAAAGTGTAATTGGTACTGACAATGATCCCAGGAAGCCCCTAGAGCCCCTGCGCCTGGCGTGGCCCAAGGGTCTGGGGGGCGAGGCTGGCTGGCCCGGCTACTGCGGGGTGGAACTTGTTGGTGACATTCAGACGCTGGTGATTTTGACGGGTGGCTGCCACCCGGCTGGCTGGCGCGGTCGGAGTGGAGAGAGGGGCGGGGTCGACCGCTGGGAACTGAACCTTTCCCTCGCTCCAAGCACTTGGAGCAGTTGGAGAGCAGCCCTGGGGATGCTTGTCAACAGGACCCATGTTGGGCGATTCGGTGCTGTCATTAGAATTAGTGCTCAAAGTGGCCAAGAAAGAATTAAGTGAAAAGATAGCTGAGGTAGAGGAGGAAAGGAAAAAAGCTACTCAGAGATGGAAGGAGAGAGGAGGGAGGGGAGGAAGGAAGAGAGAGAGAGAAAGGAAACGGAAGGGAAGGACAGAGAGGAAGGTAGAACGGGACAGCAGGAGGGAGACTGAGGGCTGCCTCAGTCGGGTCCACTTCCAGGTACCTAATACGAAATGCCAGAGTCTGCTGTTCGCACAGCTGCTGCTGTTCCAAACTCGCTCCTGATTAAGTTACTCTGGCCCTGGAGGAAGTTGTTCACCACTACATTCACAGATTCACAGTGCTGCCTGTGCCCAATGACTGCTAAGCCTCAACCCTAGCTTGTGTCCCCTCCTCTCCAAAGTCTCTTACTATTCTAGCAACTCTAGTGCAACTCCAGGGCTTTTTGCCCTTTTGACTTACTTTCAAAGTAAGTTTTCAAAAGGAGACAATACTTTTTTCTTTAGGAAACTAAATCTTTGAAAGTGGAGCTGAGTCAAATAAAATGCATGCGTGGGGGGGGGCACACGTGTGCACGCAGGTATTGGAGCAAAGAAACCCTGCAAATGATGAGTATTTTGTATTCTGTTGAGGAGTTTGGGCAAAAGAGAACCTTGGGCATGAAGAAAGAGAAAGCACTGCTAAGTAAGCACAAGAAAGGGAATTGAACGTGCCTGAGTAGTGACTGGCATGTGATTTTCCTGTCTTGTTGATTTGGTTTTTAAAATCATATCCATCCCATTACTTCTGAAATGATTACCTTTGACTTTGGGGTTGGAGAAAAGAGAACTTGACTGAGGAAGTTGTGGTTGGTTTTGCTGGCATTGCTGTAGTAGTTCATGGTGCTCATGTCAGAATTGTGAATTGAGAATCTCCTGTTTGTCTATTCCAGATTAAGCAGATGGGCATGGGGTGTCTTTTAAAGGACTGAGAAGAGCTTCTTTTAGGGCCAGGGTTATTTTCCCAACCCAGTGATATTGAGCATTACTCCGTCGGACCCTCTGATAACAAACCCGGCTATGATTCTTCATAGCTGATTCTTCATAATGTCTTGGCTTAGTACAAAAGAAAAAGAGCTAAAGCGGCAGTTAGTAAAGGTTGCTTACCTTATGGTAGTAGTTGTATAACAGAGCAAAAAAAAAGGCCTAAATGAGAGTTTCAAGTTTCAGCTACTATTCAATTAAGTTGAACCACTTTGCCAACAGATTAAACCCAGTGACTTGCAATGTTTTATTCTGTTTAAATTTCTCTGGAGTCCAATTAGAAGATTGACTCAGGCAGGAGTTGTCTCCCTCTCATCTGGAAATAAACAAGCTAGACAAGTACCCATTCCCTTCTGGTTATCTCTTAAAATACCCCTAAGTGCAAAGTGATAAAAGAGACAACAGACAGAAAGAGAAATATTGTGGAAAGGATGTTGGTGGAGTGGGAAGGGCACCTCCAGGAGCTCTTCCCTGAGGCCGGGGAGCTGTCCTTTCCCGGTGGTGCTGAAGCGGAGAGCAGTGAGGCGTGTAAGATGGACAGAGGAGGGACGCTCTCTCGGTGTTGGGGGGGGGGAGGGGTGCGGGAGAACTATCTCTGCCCACCTACATTTGCCGCCTGTTTACCACTCCTCACGCCCACTGCTCCACTGTTCAAATCGGGCATTCTTTTGCTCTAGTTTTACACCGGCTGCTCACTCCTGGCGCTTTGTTTATTTTCCAGCTGGTTTCTGGTTGCTTTCCTAACAAAGTAAGATGCACTCGCAGATGTGCTTTTCCCCCGCGTTTAAAAGTAATTGTAACCCTTGATTTTAGAAAGCAAGCAGCCTTGTTTATCTCCTTGAGCAGCAAGTTGTAATTAAACTATTAGTGTCATTATCAGCATCGGGGAACACAGAAGCCTGCGAACTCCCAATAAATTACATAATCTGGGTATAGTAAGACTCTTGTTTGTCTCATAATAGCAATTTATATACAACTTAGCAAGCAAGGGTTCCTTTGCCCTTTCTTTGTATTCCTCTCATACCCTCAAATACTCATTTATTGTTTATTCTTTCCAGAAATTGTTTTAAACTACTCCGTGCATTATGCATAAATCCATTTTTAGTATTTTAGAGGCTTAGTACGCCATCAAGGAAATAAATATACACATATTGATTTTACTTGGCCCTCATGAAATCATTTGGCCACCAAGTTTATTCCACTAATCTGTAAAACTGAGCATAGTTTGCATATTAATTAAATACTAAAACATTAATTACATCTTGCCCATGATAGTACTTAATAATATCATTTTGGAAAGAATGCCACAGGTTGAGTGAAGGATATATTCTTTCACCAATAGTCCCAAGTCAGTCAACATAGAGCGCAAAGTGTGTGTCTTTCATCACTGCATGAAGACGATAATTTCAAGGTTCAAAATAACCTGAAAAAGTTGAGAACAGAAATTTTCTAAGGCTTATCTTTCATTTGACTGAAAGAACTTCTTTTTGGATTTTAAACTTCTGTTCAACATTTAGAAGATGCAAATATTGATTGCTGAAGATGGTATAAATGCTGAAGGAAATTAAGTCAGTGCATTTGCTGAAGGTGATCCAGACATATTAGGCCTCATTTAAAACTTGGGAAGTGGGTTTATTTCCTGAGAAATTCAAATGTGTTAAAAAGACATTCTGTAATAGAAGAGTATGTTCACACATTAGCAGCGAGTGTTTTGGATTATGCTCTCACTTAGTAATGAACATCATTGACATTTAGCTTGAAAGAGCTCACCCTGTCTTAGGAAGTCAATCACTTCCTGCATTGATGTGAATGTGGTGAGAATTTTCAGCACATGTGGCAGCTTCTTTCCTCTGTTTTGATATATTTTATTTATCTTTATACTGAAAAAACAAAGAAGAGTATCCAGTACATATAAGGTGCTAAACTGAAAATTTCTCTCTAATTGCACATTAAAGTAAATGAAAGTGTTATGATAAGGAGAAGAGTTAAGTACATCTAAAATTTCTTAAAGGGGTATCAAAGAAGGAATACTAATCATCCTGATAATTTAGGTGTATTTAAAGCACAGAAACAATATCAGGCATTACTGAGAAGAGTAAGTACTTTTATACTCATAAAGAGGTTTACACTTTATTGACATTTCAGAACAGCTTTGTGTGGGGGAGATTTTCAAATGCATAACATCATCAACTCTAGAGTGCTTATGCTGTTTGTAGAGCTGAAATCTGTTTTGGTGCCTAACATCACCCAAGTATCCTGTTTCTGACTTCCACTGGTTTCTCCCACTATGTCAGGGCAGAAGATAAAGGCAGTCAGGATTGGCTTGCTCTGTCTAGGGCATAAAAATAAATTGGTCTTAAATATGAAGTTAAAAGTTGAGTCTCAGAAGACATATTTTCCCCTTTATTGAGAAGAAAAAATCTTTATCCCTTAGCCAAATTATGAAAGCCCATGGCATTAAGAAGTGGCTACTCAGAATATGCTATCATCATTTAGCACTGGAAACTGTCCATGGATGAATTGGGAATGTTTTTATGCTAAACTGAGATTGTTTCATGAACCCAAAATATGGTAATAATCCTCTTTTATTATTTACTGAAGAAACATAGTGTATTCCTCATAATATTTTTGTTACTGATTTCAAATTAAAAGCAGGATTCTACAGTTCTAGTTTTTTATGTGGTGGCCCAAACTCTCCTTTTAGGAGTTGCTTCTCAAATTCAGCAGCTGGAATTCAAATGACTGAGGACGTTGCTGAGCTTCCCACCTTATGGGCCGAAGTTAAAAGCTAGCTCACCTCTTAACTTGTTGTCCTGCATGAAGGTGGTGCTAATGAAGATCACCCCAGATAAAATTAATAAATATAAACAAATTATAGGAAAGTGAGTAATTAGCAGTGTAAATAAATGGGTAAATGTTGAGCGTAGCCATTCACCACGTCATTGTTTCCACAACAGCCCCCACATTTATGAGATAACTAGAAGAGAAAGCCTGTATTGGGTAATTAAATGTCCTTTGGATCTATGGTCTGAGCATTATTATTTTTTTAAATATCGAAGGATTATATTTACTATTATCTTATGACCAAAGGATAAGTTATTCTTTGGTTTGTCTATAGATGTCTATATAATTTAATTCAATGGAAGCCCACAGAGGCATGTTTTATATGAAAAAAATGTGAAGCAAGAGTCCAAAGAAGTTTATTCTAATGCATGTCTTTACTATGGCCATTGGTAAGTCATTTAACCTTTCTGAGCTTCCATCATTTCCTTCTAACAATTTAAAATTTCTAAAGCCATCTCCAATCTAAAAATAACTTGTGTTTCTTCTAACTTTGTCTTTATTATTGAATATGAACTATATCACTGATTTAATATATGGTGTAGTCTTGCTTATGATGCATACAAGATAAGATAAT